TTGACTGCCAGTTGGTGATTCTTGTGTTGCTTTTTAAGATCAGAGAGCTGCAGTGTGCAGTATTTTCTGCCTGTGAAGGTACTAGTGCACTGTAATCAAGACAGTCTCAATTCTGGTAGAAAAACTCAGCCAACTGAGTTTTCTCTCACCCTCTCTAAGGCATTTTCACACTCCACCAGTAATTTCTGAATCATATTTTTTGCATCCATTCCAATTACTCAGCTTCTCTTGTAGAATGTAAATATCCAAATTGCATCCAAAATTCCCAACTCTCCCAGCTGAGACATACAGAAGGATAATCACTTACAGCTAACAGTAATTAAAAACAAGAACACATTCGTATTCATTAGGCTTTTACCCTGGGACTGCACTGGGAGTGTGCATGGAGCTGTTGTTCATTCTGGTCCTGTGGATATTTCTGCAATGTTTTATCAGAAGTGATTTTGTGCCTGTGTTCCTCAGTGATCTGGAACCACAGAACCTGCCAGGTCCCTGCAGAACCCTGAGAGAACCTGCCAGGTCCCTGCAGAACCCTCAGAGAATGTGCCAGGTCCCTGCAGAACCCTCAGAGAACCTGCCAGGTCCCTGCAGAACCCTGAGAGAACCTGCCCGGTCCCTGCAGAACCCTGAGAGAACCTGCCCGGTCCCTGCAGAACCCTGAGAGAACCTGCCCGGTCCCTGCAGAACCCTGAGAGAACCTGCCCGGTCCCTGCAGAACCCTGAGAGAACCTGCCCGGTCCCTGCAGAACCCTGAGAGAACCTGCCCGGTCCCTGCAGAACCCTGAGAGAACCTGCCCGGTCCCTGCAGAACCCTGAGAGAACCTGCCCGGTCCCTGCAGAACCCTGAGAGAACCTGCCCGGTCCCTGCAGAACCCTGAGAGAACCTGCCCGGTCCCTGCAGAACCCTGAGAGAACCTGCCCGGTCCCTGCAGAACCCTCCGAGAACCTGCCAGGTCCCTGCAGAACCCCTCTCTGGGCATCCCCCTTTCGTGGTGGCTCTCTCTGAACTGCAGCAGGGTGTGATTGCCAGGGACCACGCAGCTCTGCAGGGCCCTGACAGACCCAGCTCGCTCTGATCCCAAAGAGAGCAGGAACCCAAAAGACAGAATGAGAGCACTTACACCAAGCTCCATCAGGAACATCCATCTCCTTTTCCATCCCTTTCCAGGGTGTCCCGCTGTCCTGAGCCACTGACCACCCCCAGCAGCAGCTCAGACACTGCCCCAGGCTCCTCCTTTGCAAACACTGATCAAGGTTTTTGGGCCTCCTGAATTAAAAACTGTTAATTGTTAATCCCGAGCATTGCTAAGGAATGACATCACCTTTCCAGTTCTCTTACATCATCCCTAGGTTTTATCTCCTGCATCTATTTTTTAACAGTTCTTATCCTATTGCAGATTCCCTCTGAACTTCAGCTCCTCATCATCCTCTCCAAGCACTCCAACCCACATTTTTCTTTTCCTTTGGGTTGTGCTCTCCTGATTTTCTACATTTCCTAACTCCCATTTTGAATTGATTGCTGTCTGCTTTCCTTTTTCTTATTTGTTTTGTATTACTTTCCATCTAATTTTTCCCCTCATTTCATCACTGAAGTAGGATGGGCAGTTAGCCAATGTTGTCCCCCTTCTCAATTGCAAAATTATTGGTTTTTTGGCCATTTAATACCTTTCACTTAGAAAACTGTCAATTCTACTTCAGTTTTTCATCTAATTTCCTCCCCACTCCCAGATCTGATATGAAATTTGCTCAGCTATGCCCTTTTGAAGCACCAATTAAATTTATTAGCAGCTCACACGGCTGTTTGCTGAGCTCCACTGCAATCAGGATCCCAACCTCATTTCTGACATTCATTTATCTTTATCTGGCATAAACAAGACAAACTAAATAATTTCACTCTTCATGTCTAACACTGCTGCAGAAAAACAGGTCTAGGATACAGACCAGGAGCTTTAATCTTGACTACTGGATTCCTTTCTACCACAAAACAAATAAATACATTTTTACTGTCCCTGTGAAGAAAACCCAAGCCAGTGTGTGCTCGAAGTTGATGGTAACAGGCACATGTGTCTTAGTAAACTCTTCCACATTCACTTCTCTTAGAATAATTTTTTTAAAGATTATTTTTTTAACCACTCCAAAAAGCAAAAATAAATTAATTTCCCAAGTCTCAAACAATTTTCTGGCTTCCTGCACTGAGACTGAGCCTTCAGTACCTTCTTTAATATCACAATCTCCTCAGACAAGCTGCCTTTCCAATTTTCTGCTTCTTTAGCAGGTGCAGAAGTTTAAAGTGTGAGCCAAGTCTGCCAGACAAACAGACCTGGGTCTGACACACAGCTCAATTAACAGTAACTTATTTTTCCAATTAACCACCTTCATGCCTCCCTGTTTAAAATACCTTAGAATGCATTTTTGCATTCTAGATTTCCCAGATAAAATGAAATAAAAAAATCTGAAGCGCTTTTGGATACGTTAACAGCATTGTGCTACTGCTTTGTTTGAGAAACAATCCACGAGGAACAGAAAAGTCTGTCCCACACTATAAATAAATCCACTGCACTGGAACAGCAGGAGGGAGCTGGAGACAGAAAGGAGACGGGTGACAAGGCTTGTTGATCCAAACTCCCCAGAGAGTGAAGAGGAAGAGAAAATAAAGAGGAAGCAGGAGGTGAGTGGCTGCGTGGGGTGGGGAAGGGCACCAGGAGCAGTCAGGTCTCCAAGGCAGGGAAGGGCACCAGGAGCAGTCAGGTCTCTGTGGCAGGGAAGGGCACCAGGAGCAGTCAGGTCTCCAAGATAGGGAAGGGCACCAGGAGCAGTCAGGTCTCCAAGGCAGGGAAGGGCACCCAGGGGCAGTCAGGTCTCCCTGCCAGGACAGCCCTGCCAGGCTGCCCGGGGCTCCCTGGGCCAGGGGCTGGGACAGGCAGGGAAGAGCAAGCCTGGAAGGGTGATGGGAAGAGAGAGACCCAGATGGAAACAGGCAGCAGGGAAGAAAAGCCATTAAAGATGCTTGGCTGAACGTGGGTTTCTCTGCCAAGGAGCAGGGAAGGAACAAGGATTGACTTGGCCTGGACCAAAGCACCCAGGGAGGGAATGGAGTGAGATTTGACAGCTCAGGCAGAACAGAGCAGGAGGCAGATTGGGCAGCAGAGCCTCCAGCCCCCACAGCAACGCTCCTTTGGGCTCAGCACTGAGGCAGAGATTCCTGGCTCCAGTCACACTTGTGTGTGGCCTCCCAGTGAAATGTGGAAACAGAAATTGCTGCTTCAGCTCCGAGTTCCTCCCCGCCAGGAGCTCAGGTCAAGAACGGGGATCCACACACAGAACACAAAGAATTCCCCCAGCACACACGTGGGTTACACCCAACACCACAGTGCCACACTGGAAGTTCAACTTTTAAAAACCTATTTATATGTAACTTAAGAGAAATTAGGGTTCTCCAAGTCCAGGCACACGAAGCTGGGCAGTTCTGGACAATTTCTGAGCAGTGCCAGCTCAGTTTTTGATCACGGAAATGATCAGACACTGCAATGTGCTCCCCAAACTCACAGAGCACAAACCTGGTTCTGCCATTTCCTACCTCCTGAGTGCTTGACTTTGTACAGCCTTAATAACAGTCTTTTAAAAGTAGCTCTCTGTGGGTAATTGTGTGTGGGACATTTGCCAAACTAAACATGAGGGAGTTCAAGAGGCTTTTCTAATCTTGTGAGTTTATCCACTAAAGAAAAAGATTTGATTAAAAAAATGAAGTACAGCTAAACTGGGAACAATACTTTACTACGGGCTGTTCTTCATAGGCACTTCAGAATCTTGAAAAAAAACCCCACGAAATTAGGAACTTATTAAATCAGAATGAAATGTACCAATGCAGAAACATAAACAGAAACGCCAGATGTATAATGTCAACTTGTAATACACAGCTTCAATTATTTCTTCTTAATTCATTTGTTTTCTTAGCTTCTTTTGTTTTGCTCTCTGGAAAAGGCCATTTTCTAATGACAGATCACAGGAGGAAAGATCCAAAGTTCAAGTTTACTCCAAGGAAAAGCAGCCTCATTTCTGTGCTCACAGCCCCACGTCCCTTTTGTACTTTTCACTCTCTCAGAGACTTCAGGACAAACTCAGGCCCGGACTGGGAGGCAAAGAGATCTATGTGGAAGATCAGTAAAGGTTTTAAGGTTTTACTCCTCAAGTACAAATGTGAAATTAGTTCTTGAACAGGAACAGAAGCCACAGGAAATGGCAGAGTGAGTGACAGGCACACAGTCACTCACAAGTGTGCAGGTGCGTGCTCACTGCAGTACCACGTGCAAGATTCCTAGCTGGCTCTCACTTGTGTAATTTGAAAAATAATCTTCATTCATCCAGTAAAAAACCCCAACCCATTAATCAACCAACTTTTATAGCTAAGCAGATTTGAGCAGTGGAAACACAATTACTTTGTTCTATGAAGCTGATCTTCTCAAAATCCTGAGCACATAAACTGAATGTCACTCACCACCTGTCACTCCTCAACTTGCTCACTCGAGGGCTTGGGCCAGGGATGCTTCCCCATTCCCAAACCATGGCACAGTGGCTCCAGGCTCTGTGCAGCACCAGTGCAGCACCAGTGCAGCTGTGACCCAGCCACAACAAACAGGAGTCTCAGAGTGTTATTTTACAGGGGCTTAAATTTCAAACAGAGGGATTTTTGGTGGTGCTTTTTTCCCTCACTTACTTTATACAGAAAACAGAACTCAGGATGTGGAATTTCAGGACATCACATAGGGCAAGAGAAGTACAGTTTCAAATTAAGAGCACTACAGTGAAGGCACTATTGTGCCTGAAAATTAATGACATTCCACCGAAGAGACAGAAGTGCCATTTTCTGAAGAAAAGGGATGACAGTTTTCTTCCACTGGGCAATGCAACATCAAGTATGACAAGACATAAATGATCCATTCCTTGTGCACCCCACAATGCAAAATCGCTGGCAAGAATTGCAAGTTCACATGTGCAGCAGATACAAACCCTTCAGAGTTTATTGATGAAAAGAAATTCTAGTGAATTGCAAAGTGAAGTTTCAACTTTAGCCCACTAACAGCATTTCAGGAGGAAAAAGTAACACCACCATTGAGCTTTACAATCCTGTATTTTTAGAAAATGACATTATGGTACATCAATCCCCCTCAACATAACAACATGACATGATCTTGCTCTCCAGCCCCCAGGCTACTCCCCAGTAACCTGAGCTGCTCCTGGCTTGCAGATGCAGCTGTTCCAGCTGTGCACCCCCAGCTGACAACTGCCAATGCACAGCAATAGTTATGATCATCCATGCACGGAGTATTTGCTTTAAGATGTGGAGAACAACATAAAAATAGAAGAAACCATTTTCCATTTGTTTCCCAGCACTAGGCTTCAAGATATTTCAGGTATCTGTTTATCCCAAATTCGCCCAAAGAGTGCACCAAGCAGCCTCTACTGGGTGTTACAAAAATCAACAATAAATGTGCAAGTGGTCATCTTAAAGTAACAGCAAGGACAATAATTAGATTAGTAATAACTTGATTTCTACTACCATGAATCAATCACAGGTTTCTAATAACTGATGTTGTGTGAGGACCCCAGACAATTATCTTATTTAGAAACTCTACATTTTGTGCACAACTTCCTAAGATATACAATGTCCTTCAGAATAATTCACTTTCTGTGAATACTTCATGAGAACATTTCCTCTTGTGTTGCCATGAAAGGAACAACTTACAAAAAGAGCCAGGTGGCTTAGGAATATCCATCCAATCTATATTTGCACTCTATCTACAAACTGGCCTTTTAGGAACCTTGGAAGAAAAAAAATCCTTAAGATTTCTCCCTACTGCCTATGAAAGGGTTTGGTCAAACAGGGACTGAGAATTCCCCTGATCAGTGACTTTATTTCAAGCTCAGCAAAGCAAAGCATTACCCAGACAATTCAGGGCTACTGTGTTCAGGCTCTTGTGAAAAATGGTGAGGGAAAACCTCAGGATTTTGTTAAATTCCAAAACACAAGCAGTTAATTTGACTGTTAGGACTGATGGTGTGGGTCAGCCCAGCTGCAGGTTACAGATGCTACCAACACTGAAATCCTCTCCTGGTCTCCTGGCTCAGTGTCTGAAGGGTCTGGAAAAGCATGAGAAGGTTTTCTGGGACCTTTATGATCCTGGAGTGCAAACCCCAGGAACAACTTTGCCCATGAATGATCTCCAGTTCCAGGCTGGCACAGACCACCAAGAAGTCACTGCTGAGCACTGGGGGAGCACAGAGCTGTGGTAGCTTACACTGGGTGTAAAACCTGCCTGGAACTTTACTCCAGATATCCTCACAGGAGACCAGTTTAAACCTTCAATCCTCTCCCTTTATCCTGCAGAAAGTGATTTGTTTTTTCTAAACCAACCTTTTTTAGGCTATTTTAGAGCAGAACAATGGACTCTCAAAAAAACCTTTTTTTTTTTTTTCAAAGTGAATCAGAAATTCTGATAAGAGAACAAGATATTTACAGCCTCTTAAAAAAATCTATTTCATATCTCAGTCTCCCTTCAGCAAAGGTTTTCTCAACTATATTCTTCAAAGCCATGAAAATTAATTTTGCAGTATCACCCACAACCTTGTCTTTCTGAAAAGAATGCTTCATTAGAAAGTTTTCTTCAGCTTCTACTGCCCAGGCAGTATCTTCTTTATAAATTCTGCCCAATTTGTCCCACAAACTCCCTGCTTTGTCCTTTCCAGCTCATCTCCTACCTGCCCTGCCCCTTGCAGCCAGGCTGCAGTGGCTCTGTCCCTTCCCTCTGAGCAGACAAGGCACCAGCACTTTAAAATGCTAAAAATACACCTCTCCTTTCTATTGAACCTCCTAGAAATACTTCCAGACTCCCGTTCATAAGCTGAACACACCAATCACAAGGTTTTTTTCGCAGCTATTTTTCTTATTAAGCCTTACATAAAATTTCACTTATTTGCACTTGCAGAGGAGGAAGCCCTTGAGACAGAAGTGGGACAAACATAAAGGTCAAGGAGTGCAGCAGACAGGCTGCAGCCCCCACAGCTCTCACAGAATCCCAGCAATAGGGAAGGAATGACAGAAGTCATCTGTAAAAGACTCAGCTTCATCTTATAACATGCTACAACAAATTTTGCCACTGAATGTTTTTGGGTCTACCATTTGAGAATAGATGTGAATTTACCTGCTCAAAAACTGTTTAATTTAACTGAACCCATCCTGTTAAAACACACTGAGTTTGTTTATACACCTTGTGGTAAAAGGAAGCTTAGAAACAAAATCTCCTTATTCTAAAGGTGCTGTCAAGTGTCTGAACTCCTGAACCCAACTAACCTGGGATGTTACCTTGTACCTCAGCATGGTGACTCTGAACAACTTTTGTGTGTCAGGCTCACGATGGGATGGTTTGCTTTGATATTAAAATTAGTCTGGAAAAAAAAGAAATTCACCCTGAAATCAGACTGCAAGTTTCCTTATGCCATGAACAAAGCTGACAAGAAAACACTGTTTCCTCCCCACCTCTAAAACTGCGAGAACAGGACAAAAGTAACAAAGGAAACATTAATTTGGGGGCTTTATTTAATTTCTCTTTTCTTTCTTTTTTTTCTTTTTTCTTTTTTAAGATGCTACATAGTCAAACAAGATTGGTCTTTTTACGGCATAGGACTAAGTTTACTACTGATATTTTTGTTTCTCCCCTAAATAGACTTATTTACATACAAAAACAGTTTCTGACCACTGTTTCGCCAATGCTCAGATGATCAAAACTCCCAACAATGGTGTAGTGCCCGAAACACCAGGAGGCAGAAGAATCTTGCACCACTACAGCAGCAAATTTTTAGTTCTTGTCACTGGCTTTGAACAGGTGCCTTTTCATACCACAAAGAATTAGTCAATTTTGTGATAATAAGGAAACATGAGATGAAATCCATTAAATAAGTCAAATATGCATTAAACATCTCTGAATAACATTTTAATTCAACTAAATGAACCAACAGCAATGTAGCTTGGTCCCTTGGTGAGAACAAGGCATTGACCTTTATTCTGAACGAGCCCCTCGGTGCTGCCCAGCTCCCTCAGTGCTGCCACAGACAAATCTTTGCAGCTTCTCACTACTCATTTAAGTGCCAAGAAATTGGTAACTTGCACAGAGTTGAAGACACTGACAGAAACTGTTAAATTCATGAGCAGAATGGTGGATTAACGTATTTTACAGAAGTTATCAACACCTCCTGCCTAACCCAGCTCCAAACATCCCTAGGGCCATCTCCAGCAGTGGAGGAAGAGGTTTTTTCTAGTTTTCCTTTTTTTTTTCTTTTTTTTTTTTAAAAAGAGGTAATCCAGCAACATGTACCAGGGTCTAAGAATGTTTAAAATGACATATACAATATTCCATTGTAGTGTTAAATCAGGATTTTCTCCCCCCTTCATCATTGAAGCATATTCTCTTTCATTCATTCCCTCACCGTACATTTTGAACTTTCTAGATTATGTTACATAGTATTTGTGCAGGGGTAATTTAAAGGCAAGACCTGTGAGATGTCATACATTAATTTTTTTTTTAAACATTGTTATGAATAAATTTAATCCAATGATATGGCAGAACCATCAAACCAATTTACAATTTCCAGCATGCTGCCTCTACAAGGCTATTTTTCCTATAATTACACCAAAGACAAAGAACAAAACCACCAAAGCAAGTAGTCTGGAGCTGAGCCCTTCGTCCTTGACAGCAGCTGCAGAAGGAGATATTGGGTTGTTTGTCTGGGGTACCTTCCTCATCCGCAGTCCATCTTCTTCCTAAAGGAAGAGATATTGATTATTCCTACAAAAAAAAGCTTTAAATATTCACCCTTCTCATATTTATTTAGGTGGGTGTTACAGAACAGGTGAAAGCGAATTTACAGCTAAGTTAGAGCTCTGTGTCCTGGATAATCCTGAGAGGGAAGGGCAGTGAGGCAGGAGGGGAAAGCCACAAACTCTTGGAAGTTTTGTCCTGCTAAGGGAGTGGGGAAGCACTGAGGAACCTGCAGGAACTCCTATCCAAAGCCTAGAGATGGCTCCAGAACTTCAGAAAAATGATGGAGGAAATGCCATGAAGGTGCTTTTCTTGCTCTGTAACAAGAAAGGTGCTGCAGGGGAAATTGTTTCTCAGTATAACTAAGATGAAGTTGCATGTTTTTCACAAGCCAAGGCAATTACACTCCTCATTCCCCATGTCAGATCTTCCAGCCCTTGAAGGGAAATCAGTTTTCCCATCATATTAATGCTGACATTTTGGACATGAACCTAATGGCAATAATTAGGATATTTTCTTGATAGGAATTTGGTAGCTCACCTGATTTAAAGATGAGACAACAGATAAAACAAAGTAACACCAGCAGATATTCCCATTTCAGGTGGGAATGATGCTCCCCTCAGCTCTCCCTGAGCTGTTGTGCTGCACAGCTGTGTGTTAGCACACTCCAGTCACACACACTCAGAGCATTTCAGGAGAGGGGAAATGAGTCTTTTGTGACTTAATTTGTGTCCAGCTGAAGCAACAGTGTTAGGCTTTTTAATGTGACACAGTATTATAGTGCAAAAGGACAAGGTACCAAAGCAAAAGTCTCCAGTCTCTACTTAAAAAAATACTCAAGAAATAAAATTGTAATGAAAGTTACTGCAGTCGTGAAAATTGTCAGATAAGTGAAGTTCAAAGGGATTGGGGTATGTCAGTGTTTCTCACTTTTGAATTTGAAGGGGCACCTACATGATCTGAAGGTGAACTTATTTTTCTATTAATTAATTTATTTACTAACTGAAAGCCACAGGTTACCCAGTACCTCACTGCTGCTCTAATTCTGAATGAGCTCAACTGACTTTCATAAACAATAAAATGCTGGTTTACATACAACACACTTTATATATAAACAACAGATTTTCATTTAAAATATTTTAATTTCCTTCTGACAGTGACTCCAGCCTGACACTGACAGCACCTGGTAGCAGGCAGTGATTTAGCATTGCTCTCTGATGTTTTACAGGTGTTTTTAACACTCCACAAAGGGACAAAGATCTCACCTATCTGGGACGTTACTGTAAGACATCAGCTCAATTCTAGATAGCTCCTGTAGAGTGAAGACCAATTTACAAAAAAATTAAATAAAATAATATAGAACTTAAGAGTACTGAGTTGCTGGCAAAACAAGAACACAAGGAGAAGTTAGGGCCACATCTGTTATGTACACATATTATTTCTGTGCAAAACAAAACTGTTTTCAAGAATTCCTTCATGCATCAGCCAGCCAAGCAGCATCAGAGCTGAGAGAACAGAGCTCTTTTCACTGGGCTGCAAGAGTCACAGCATCCACACTTTCCTTGGTGCTGATATCTATGGAAGCAGACACTTAGAGCAAGTCAAGCTACTGTAAAAAGAATTTTTTTAGCAGAGTGATAAAGGTTTCTCAATTACTGAATTTCCCAGCCATGTGCTGGATATGACAGGAAGCCCATTTCCCATTCATCTGTCTTAATTTGGCCATTTCAGCAGCACATTACAGGTGCAATTACTGAAACACTCAGTATTTGCACAACACTGCCCTCAAGCTCCCATGGTTTGGGAGAAGGGGCCAAGTCCAACACTGAATGCTTAATTCAGACTGAGAAATTAGGTGGGAAAAGAAAAAAGAGGGGGAATTCACTCCTCTGGGTTGCTACCCAATCTCCTTCTGTGACTGCATGACTTGTGCCTCCTTTCAAAGGAACCATTGATTTCAGCACCTTCTGGCAGTTTACAGAGAAACCTGAATTATCTTTTACTTTACACACAGTAGTAAAATATTGTGCTAAGGTCAGGTAATCAAACCTTTAAGATGGAAGCTTCTTTTTCAGGAAAGGGGTAAATCTGAAAAGAAAACAACAGCAATCTTTACCTTAAACTGTTTATTCTCCTCCCGTAACCTCTGAACTTCTACTTGAAGCCTCTTATAGTCTTCCATTACTTTCTTAACTTCAGTGTCATCCAAAGAAGAACTTATTGATTTAGACATTACAGAGGAATCTGTCTTTGTTGCAGTTGTGGATACAATTTTATTTATTTCTATGTCATGCTGTTAAAAAAGGATAGAGTGATTTTTGGTTAGTTATTAACACCACACCACACACCTGATACATAGGAGGAGAATCAGGTAAAATTGTCTGTGCACACCTGACACGTGCCTGTAGCAAAAGAAATAAACAACATTTTGCTTTCTGTAACTTTACTGCTATCCCAGAAAACATCAGACCAACAGCAGTAAGTGAACAGAGAATGACCTTGACTTGTCAGACCCTGCATGTACAGAAATGTCCCTAAACCAGGGCCACAACCAATGGTGTCCTCCCCCCTCCCTCCCCAGGCCCAGCACAAGCAGCCAGTGCAGGACCAGGACAGTGTGCAGCTCCCTCCCCACCCCTGGCTGTCCCCTCTCCTATTTCTGTTTTTGTGGGGATGCAGGAATTTGCAATCCAAGCTGGGAAACAAAATTCAGATCTCCCAGCCCTGCTCCCTGTCCTGCCTTTGGATCTCCTCCATGCTCTGTACTTTAGAAAGGGTCTCATAAAATCAAAGCTCTCCCCAGCCAATTACATAATCCTAATTACAGACTGCTCAGTGCAAGGTGGAACAACTGTGCCTTTAGTACCTGCACACTAGGAAGCATTTTTCAGTTTATTCAATCCATTATCAGTTTTATACTGGACAATACATATTTGCATTACAAATTAACATGTCCATTACCCTAACAAGAAAGGATCCTACAATATTATACCAGATGATTTCAATATAATTCCTAACTGCATTTGTGTCATCCTCATCAGTTTTGTATCAATTTACCTGACAAAACCAGAGCTGTATTAAGGAAGTGTTGGACAGGCAAATTTATATTGCTGATGATTATAATTGCTTCAGTATAAACTCTGAGCTTCACAACCAGCACCTTTAATTTCTTATTAAGTATTCTTTATCCTGTGACCTTTTACTAAATGAAAACAGATCAACTCAAAAAATGCTTTGTGCTACTGTTGCACTTGTGAAGTTCAAACTGGCTGTTAGTTACACCAAGGATTACCAAGATTTTAAATAGTTTACATTGTGCTTTTAAAGAGTGATGCCATCCAGGCAGTGAAACAGAGGATTCTGTCTTGTGCTTATACAGCTGTCTGTAGAAACATGCCATTTTACAGGATTTACTGTGGTATTAAGTTAAATCACTCAATATGCATCTGAAAATACTCACAGGCTTATCATTCTCTGCTGGTAGCTCAAACACACACCTAAGTTTCGAATCCATGAGTTCTTCCGGTTTTGCTTCTTTCCACTGGAATAAGTAAATATTAATTTCACATTAAACATATTAGTACAATCAGGCAGATTGGAAATGCAGTGCATTATGTAAACAAATCACATTATTTCACTCAGAAAGAACCCACAGGTGTTTATCACACTACCATTAACCACGCACAGGATGAAAAATGAGATCAAAACCAAAACTGAGTGGTATCATAAAGACAGACCAGGTACTATGAAGCAAATCATTCTAAATAGTCTGAAACTTCCACAGGTAATTTACGAGAGAACTGGGAGCTGTATCAGAGTAATTAGCAGAGATGGAGGGAGTAATGAGCCTGCCTAAAAAAAAAGAAGGAAAAAAAAAAGTAAAAGGAGGGGTGAATTGAAGGGGAGGGAAAGATAACAAGCCTCCAAATAAATCACAGAGTGAGTTCTCAACTCTCTGGCTAATGGAGTTCCTATTCAAACTTTTCAAATTTCACATGAGCTTTTCTTCCTGACTGGAATGAATGCAGGACTGTTCTTCCCCCTCCTTGTTTTCCACATCCTTATTTTTCAGCATCCATGTCTGAACAGCACCAGCTGTGCTACACACAGAGGGGTAACTTCCCCTCACACCTTCTCTCCCCTTCAGCTGGGGAGCCTGCCATAAACAAGATTCCTTGCAACCTTTCTAATAGGGATCAGCAGTAACAAATCTTTGCTCAGTATCAGCTGTAACCCTGAAGTGGAAAGATTTATTCTCAGTGATAATAAACAGCAAGGAGTGCCCACACTTCTATCCTGGAGCTCTCACATGCTCCTCTTCACTTTGACCATCCTCCTGGTAGCTTGGTATTCCTCAGCATATCTCAAGTAGGTGACAAATTATGGCTAAGCCCATGCAACCTGGAGTAATATTTAACTCATCCCAAACAGCTGAATCGTAGTTCAGCTCTTCTGGGGCTGAAGTCAGATCTATTTCCAGCTCCTTGGCTGCCTGTGAAGTGTTGAAAGCTTTATAGTACTCCCATAACTGGTCTCACCTGTTCATCCAGAATAGGAAGAGATCTGGAGAGTGGTAACAAACTGAGAACTGATCAAAGTGTTACAGGAAAGGGAATTTTATCAGTCTGGAGAGCTCTGGAAAACTGAAAGGCCCATCTAGGTACTAATAAACGTTCTTTGCCAGCAGAATAACATTTGTCATGGTATAAAGTAACTCATAAAAATTAAAGAGCTCAAAAGAAAGGCAGACTGACTTATCTTTCTAGTGATGCAGACATTTTATTACTATTGCTGTTTCTCCCACTGGATCTTATTTTGAGCCCATTAAACAAATATAGTTCCATAAATCAGTTTCAGAAGGAAAATTATTAACCTGCAGAGTGCCCCAGCTTTAAGAAGCTATTCAGAAGAAGACACATATTGTAAAGACCACTGTAGAGTATTTTTGGGCTGGCTTTTTTGTTTTTAGCCACACACTTTTACAGTAATGCTCTTTTTCCTTTTTACATTGTGTCCTCAATAGCCACTGAATGTTCTCTCAAGCTAACAAAAGCTGGGCTACAGAGAGCTTCCTTGTGCCTTCTTCTGGGGGCAAATCTTGCTGATAAAGGAAACCCAGCAGCTGACATGATGGTTTACTCCTCTGCAGGTTGTCTTACAGTAGCCTGACATCTTATTTTTATGTCTTTTGTTCTTCTCTGCTCCAGCACCTACATATTTCTACTGCTCTCATTTGTAATCCACAGGACAGAATCCGTGAGAGCCTTTCATTTACAAAGCCACAGCAGACACAGGTAGGGATAAAGAAAATACAATACTTGTAAATCATCCTGTTGCATCTTGCAAAAGGAGCTGCTCAAGAGAAGACTGAGAGTAGATGCATAAAAATGATGCCACGGACTCAGAATATATTCTGTATATCCTTAGAATATATGGTTCAAGCTGGCCTTTCTAAAGAAGGATATATTGCAAAAAACTACAACTACTTGTTTCATGGCTTGGTGTGCCATTACTGACAGCAGCTTCCTAAAGAAGCAGCCACAGACAACAACTCTCAGAGCAAGATTCCTGAGGCTCAAAATAACAGAAACTCCTTGCCATGCAGAGATGGAAATCTGGAAAAGCTTTCAAGGACCATTCCAGCGTGGTTTGATAACATCCCTTAAACAACACAGTCAAAGGACTTACAAAATTCTACAATCAGAAAGAAATCCATTTTAATTAATTTCAATACTTACTACTGCTTCCATATCTGAAGTATCAGCTGGAGCAAACATAGACTGAACCATAAACTTGTGTTTACTTTTCTCATTAGGGTCATAGTCAAAAGGCTGTAGCATCACTGGAAGAAAAAAACCCAGAACACATTGCATTAACACTGCTCTGCTGCAGAGTCATGCACTGATGAGACAGTTACCAGATTTCACAAAAACAAACATTAAAATGGTTTCAAGTTGTCTGTTTTTAAGACCAAAGCAGCAGCTGAGATCAGGATCCTCACTTCAAACTGGAATTTTGAAAGGAGGCAAGAGAAACAGATTTCCTCAGTCTGTCTAGACTTTGGTCTGAGAATTCTGGAAATGCTGATCACTCTACAATATTCAGTACACAGCTATGGCAAGATAACAATAGTCATTTATAGGAAAGAGGATCATTTACATATCTTCTGGGACAGAGGGAAAAATTTTCCAAGACAGCATCTTTTTGTCTTGCTCCATCCTTAGGGCAGAAGTAAGAAGCATTTTGATGAGCTGTACACACAATATTGCTGATGGTGCCCAAGAAAACCTACAGAGGCAAAGTCAAACATTGTAAACCTTGAGGTTCAAGCCTTGGGATGGAAATTTCCTCTACAAAGTTTAAGAGTCTCATGGCATTTGATTTATCAAGTACACGTATTTTGCCTCCACAAATAAGTCACTGAAAGTTTGTTACCAATTTACAGATGGAAGTTTATAGTAAAATGTGATGCAAACTTTGCCTATGAAGGGTATGCAAGGAATTTCTCTTCACTCAAAAAATAAAAAGCATTCCAAAATTTACTTATACAGAAAATTACTCTGTTTAGGGGGCAGAGAGGAAGGAACAGCAGGTTTAGGGAATATGTGTGCTTTAATTTAATTTTTTGAGCAATACTGGGAATTTCCATGTGTTTGCTTTTGAGTTAAAGCAACCTGAAGAGGGACAGTTGGGAATTCCATTACACAGAATAATCTTTAATCATAATGGTCACTTGGAACATTTGCAAATGACACCTGGATATTCAGCTATTGGGGCATTAAAAAACATGAGCTTGGCTTCACCATGAGACAGAACACGTGGAAATAAGCAACACAGTTTACACAAACATGTTATTAGACACTGCAAAAAGCCACCACCCCCTCAAAGCTTGCAAATACTGCCATTACTGCTAACAGAAAAATGGTGTAAAGTTTAAAAATTCACATTTTATGACCTGTCTTACTTCAGCCCCTCAATTCAATCACTAAGAAGAGAAGCAGGTCAAGAATTAGGAGGATTTTCAAGCACTGGTGCTATTAACATTATGTGCCCAAATTCACACGCACTAATTGCAGGGGTTTGTCATATAAAAGCAATATCCAAAGATCCCATTTGTTACAAATGAAGGCAAGTCAAACCAATTTGCTCCCTTAATGAGCAGGGTATGTTATGGCTGAGCCATCTTTACTGTGCACACAATCTGTGGCCATCAACAAGCACATGCCTTCTAAAGCCCAAAGAGAAGGCAAGCAATAAATTCTCTCAGATGAGGTGCTTTAAAAATTATTATACATTTTAAACTCACCTTGCAGTAGTTGGATATTATTCCAAAAAAAGTCTGCAAATTAATTGGCTTTAAAGGTTTCCCTTTAAAACTATTTTGCAAACAGGAGTGACTGCACTGTGAAAGCACAACTATTTCAACACTGAACTGAAAAGCAGCAGCATCGTTTTTTCTCCTCTGTAGCAAACACTTAAAGAATTTCAATGTGTAAGATCCAACTGGATAGCCAGAACTATTCAGCATTTATGGAACTTCTATGATTGTGGCTTTTTCAGCTCACTTTGCTGAGTGCAACTCTCAGCTCATTTGAAAATCCTCATTGCCCAAGGGACAGTGCTGAATCCATCCTGGAATGCCAAATGATCACTGCCCCCAGCTCCATTCACTGAACCACAAGAGCCAGAGAGGGCTTGACAGCACAGACGTTGTTAGCACTTGTATTTTTAGATCAATACATGAAAGCCACATTGACACAAATTATTCAGCAAATGTCTTGTAAGCCAGATGGGAAGCTCAAAAACATGTACTTTTTTCAAGAGGAAACCAAACCATTTTAATATTTATCCACATACTATTGGGGTTTCTGTGAAAGATTAGTTCCATAAAATTGCCCTAATTGCTGGAGAAATTGCTAGTGGGAATGTGGCTCCTTTGTTCTGAATGGAAATCACAAACCTTATGCAAAAATTATGTGAGAAGTATGTTCCTACAGAATGCCTTATCACATCAGAGGTCCCATCTGGTCAGAAGCTTCAGCTTTTATCAGTAATCAGAGTTTTAAGAAACAAAATTATTAATGTGATCTTCAAGTTTGCAGTCAGCAGCATCCATCAGGCAGAGATATATCTCAACCACCTCCCAAGCTGCTCACCCCAGAGCTCGAGCACCAGCCCTGCTTCACCACAAGCAAAAACTGCAGAGTCACTGAGAGATCAATGGCCATGGGTTTTCTCACACATTCCTGCAATATCCCCAGCATTTTATGCTCAGTAGAGAGCTAAGGAGAGGCCCTGACCACCCAATGTGCTCCTTCTCTTCCACAGAACAGTTTACCAGCAAAGTTAGTTACAAAGTTAGTTACAATGACAGAAGCGTCAAACTCCTGTGGTTTTCCTAGAATAAACCAGCTTTTTCAAGGAACAGAGGAAATCTGAAGCAGGGAACACCTTTAACACCTGCTGGGTTATAGCTGTCCTTTCCAAGAGCACAAGGAACAGAAAAGTCTCCCAGCTCAGATAGGCAGCAACCTTCCTCTAGTTTCCATCTAAATTTATTAATGGCCTGTTTACTTGGTCCTGGACCAACACTGCCCTAATACTGAAATACCAGAGAAGGGGAAGAGTCATTTATGGGGCCCTCCAAGCCATCAATCACAGTAACTCCTGGCCTACGGGTAAACTTAAGCCAGACTTGGTGGGTTCTCTCTAGGCCAGGCTCCCCATTCATCCTCTGCACCTGTTTTGGTTTGAGCTCCTCTGATTACACATGCAGGAAACTTTACTAGTGCCATGAATCACAGCATTTATGCCCTCTCACCTCTTCCCTTACCCAGATGTATGATGCTACATCTGCCTTACAGAACATTATGTCTTATTATTAGGCCTATTATCTGCTCACCCCAATCAGGCCCTTTTATTCAACAAGCCTGCAATTGTAGCCAAAGTATTTTATTCTTCAAATATGTGATTTTGCAGTTTTTCTAATGAAACTCATCCCATTTCTCTTACTGTAGCCTTCAAGGGCACCTAATTCTGCTGTATATCTTCAATCTCTCAACTTTACAACATCATCAGAGTTTTTAGTGTACTCTTTGTTCCAGAATTGCTTGTAAAAGCATTAAACAAGATTAGGACCAAGAATCACTCTCAAGAAACATCACTGGTAGCTCCCTGCTCTCACATTTCCATCCACATCACTGTTCATTCTTAAAGCAGCTCATTCAACACTCTGTCAATTTATTTGTTCTTTTCTACCTTTATCAATCATTTTCCCAAATGGAACTGCATTGAATTCTTCATGGTCTGGATGGATCAAATCTACCACACTTATGTCATATAAAATACCCCAACCAGAAACAGGGGCAAGGCTCAAGATCCTGGTGGAATTCCATCAGCTCTGGCAGAGGTGAGCAAAGGACACTCACATCTACAGAAATGTGCAGAATCCATTGCATCATCCCACCTTTGTTTTCTATTTACATAAAATTTCTGTAAATATTTCAATAATATTAAGAAGTGTTGACTTTGTGAAGATCAAGATAGAATTTTAAAGCAGGCAGGCAAGAACAACCTACAAAACTTGGTAGTTTCTGCTTGGGAGATCTGTGGGAACAGGGCAGAGGAGTGACACTGCCAAGGAAAGTTTGGGAATGCAGCGGTGGATGGGACACAGTCAGCGCCTGAGGGAATGGGACAGACCCACTGTGACTGCAGAGCACAGGGCTGCAGCTCCATTCCTGCATTTCCAAAGTCAGGAAAGCTCAGAAAAGACTGAAAATCCTCCCTGGATATTCGACAGCAGCCCAAGGATAACTCAGCTCCTCCTGCCTTAGGAGGCTGCTCAGACTGTGGGACACTGCACAGATGGTACCATCTGCAATTCCTCTCTCCTCCTTACACATCTACTGCAGACTCACCAGCATCTGCTGGTGTTCCTTCACTTTTCCTTTGTAATCCATTCATGGCTTTTATTTAGGTTTCAAAGCCACAAAATCAGCTATCTTTGCTGAAATCAGAGGTGCTTGGCAGCAGTGGGATGTGTGCAAACACTCCTTGCCCAAGCACTGCAGCCCCAGTGCAATGGAATCAGATGACAGCGCTCACACACGCTTCCCGACAGTTACATAAACTCAGCTGTTAAAATTACATGCCATTACATAACAGGTGAAAACACGGGCTCCAAACCTGACATCCCAGCAGGCAGCACATGCTGACAGGGCCTCAAATGCTGGTATTTAGCAAAAGCTGTGATATGGCATAAGAAGGCACCATTTGAGACTCCACTAGATTAAAGTGAGCTTTATTTTCCTAGCATTTTGTAAGTCTTTAAATGAGCCATCATATTAATGTGAAATGAAGTGCAACTGCTGCCTCTTAGAGCAAAATATCTTCTCATACACTTACAGCAAAATAGTACAGACACAGTTTCACAGGAGTATAACAAAGGCAGCTGGTTACTACAGAGCACGAAGGAAGAGGCTGTCCCAAATTCAGCTCCAGGCAATAACATTCCCTGAGACTAACAAATGCTGAGGCACTGATTTTTGGAGACAAGGTGCAGCACCAATGCAGTGCTATCAGTGGCTGTGGTAAAGCCAGTCAGCAATTGTGAAGGGAGGAGATTGCATATAGTAAACACAACCCAATTAGCTGAAGTGTCCAGAAGTTACTGTATTAACTATATTTTAAATAATTTCTCATCAGTAGTATTTTCACTAGGTTTGAAGGAATTCAAGTCCCATTTATTTAAGTCCTATTTTTATGCCCTGTGCAAGACTTGAATTAAATGACTGAAAAGGTAACTGATTTAGAGGCAAAGAAAGAAATTCTATTTATTTTTCACTTCATTAACTCCAAAATCAGTCTTTTGTTCTCAAGCAGTATTACTCCAAAGTAAAGGTTAAATACATCTTCCCCCCTTTCTGTGAATCTGAAAACAATTGTTTTTTACAAGTTAATAACAGTTCCCTCTTTGATCCCTCCCATCCAAAGGATCCCATCTGCTGATCAAAACCAAAGACACTGCCATCCTCAGGTCCAAAATCAGGTTCCATGCATGGTTTGAAGGAGCTTAATCTATTACCTAAGGAACAATGAGAGTGTGCTACTTGCATTTTAAAATACAATGTCAATGAAAGGACTGGCAATTTAAGATTGTTATTTATTACTACTGTTAAAATCAGCATGGAAATATTAGAACAGACATGTGAGCTTGTGATTAAATACATCACAGCCATTTTCCACACTAACCAAACCATAAATCACTACAAATAAGGTTATCAGAAAAGGGAAATTCTTAAAGCAGTGTAAGCAAGAGCAAAGCACAGCTCAGGGTTAGCACAGCAGTCTCATAAGGGGATACTTTACTCATAAGATCCACACTCTAGCTGGTGTGCCACTGGGAAGGCTCAGGCTGGAAAAGCAAGCCTGGTAGCATCACAGGAGATGGCTCCTAACACCTGCCTGCACTGTATTTGCTCAAGGTGGAGCTAAGGGGCACTTGTGAGCAAAACTCAACACTGAGAGCAAGACAACGTTTCAAAAAGCCTGGTAAGAGCCTGCAAAGGAAGTAGGCTTTTAATTTTCAAAGTTCATCTACAAGATGAAAAGCATCCACATCTTTATAGCACGAAGATAATTTGTAGCTAGAAACCATGCTAATTTTCATTATCATTTCATTGATTTCAGTGCATTTGATATGCTTGCCTGCAGCTAGTATAGATGACAGACAGCTTTACTTGGGAATTGTTCCGAGTTTTAAAAATCTCCATTTCTCTCCAGAGAGCTTTTTCATTTACATATTAGTCATTTCAGAGCTCACTGGGTATGTGCTGGCCCCCTCCTGGAGCAGAAGTGCTTTGCCTGCCCCACCTGGAGCTCCCACCACTCCCTGGTTACCTCCTCACTGACATTCCCCTGGGATTAACTGCAAGGGAGGCACAATCCTGCAGCCCTTTGCACACTCAATTTGACACCACAGAAATCCCAAAGACAACAGATCAATGAGTGTGCAAATACGGGCATGTATAAGAAGACTCATAGGATTAGAGATGCTTAAATTTACAGTGGAAAGTGATTTTGGGATCAATTTTTATTTTGTTGCAGCAAGTTCTCTCCAAAGGTGAGGTGTTTAAATATTTTACATTTTATTAAATAAGAAACTGAACTCAATTTTTACATGTTGATTTTTTTCAAGTAAGAAGCAGTGGTTTTGGCATCTCAAAATTTTATCCCAGGCAAAAAGAGGCTGGTAGGAGCAAACTGTATAACCTCTCAATAGTATTGCTTATCATGCCAATATTAATTTTTTTTAGGAATAGCAAATCAAATCTGAATATGCATGTTTAGAGGAATAATTTTCTTAACTAAAGTCTGACATCATTCATCTAATATGCCACAACTACATCCTTTGATAGAATTCTTTATTAAGAACATGGATCAGAGCAGTTATTGAAGAGAATATATTATCAGGAAGTTAATAATACACAGATACTGTTTGTGAGAATACTCAGCTCTTTATGCTTTCAAAGTAAGCCACTCCTTTGCTTTTCCATTACCAAACTTAGGCAAGTCAAGAGCTACTGACTCATTAGAAAAAATCATTAATTTTTCCTATGCAACAGCAAAGATTTAGTCATTTGACATTTTTAACACCAAAGGATACTGAATCTTCAAGGCACACAAAACAAGCATGGTTTGAAAGTAAATGTTTTCATTGTTGGTTAAATCCAAGGCAGTTTGGCATCAGCTCACACTGGTCTAAACCAGTGCTACAGTCCACCCAGTTTTATTCTTCCCTCAATGTGCTCATCCAAGCACTTGTTTGACCCCGTGGTGAGCTGGTTCAGGAAGTTAAGCTGGCAAAAAACTAACTGTACAAAAATAATCCCACAGGGAGGGCAGGGCTGCAGCAGGACTGGTTTGGATAGCTGGCTGAAGCTGTTAATGAACCATATCAATCATTTATGTATTTCCGCCTTTTTCCTCTCCAAAACAAGAAGAACAAACCTGTTCCTGTTAGACCAAGAGTAAGGGAAGTAAGGATACATGAAATGGCTGCTTCTCCATGAAAACACAACTTCTTGGATTCACCAAAATACTTTCAGGCTGCAAGGCATTCCAAGAAATAACTGATTATAAGAAGCTATTTTCAATCAGCAAAGAACTGCTTGAATGGCTTACCAGAAACATTAATTGATGTTCCTGCATCGATAATTCCACTGTTGGGCCTTACACAGTATCTACGTGGTGCTGTGGTCTTAACTTTGAAGCACACATTTCTGTCCGTGGGGTTGCCGAGCTTCAGGTTTGTAGTGACCACATCTGTGAAAGGACCTGAGGAGGAGAGCAAAAGCAGACTTGAAATCACACAGAAAGCGCTTTTCAAGCAGAGCCTAAGCAGGCTCTAAATCTCTGTTCACAAATCTTATAAAGTAATTAGATGTTCAATTTCCATCTGCAGCATGTACAGATAATCGTGCACGCAAAGCTGAGGCTGCATCCAGGCCCCAGCCCAAGAACTCATCATTAACAGCAAAACAAAAGGGGAAATCATTCACACATTGTGCCAACACCACAACATGGCATTCAAAGGATGCCAAATTCCCTGCTGTGTCACAGTTGCTCCATTCTAGTCACAGAAGCCCAGGCTAGCAGAGATACCTCATATACCCATGCTGTAGATGATAAGCAGTGAGTACAGTACAGTTTGTTAACCAAGGAATGGGAACCAAGGACTACCACAGATCCATCTGCACAGATCCACAAGCTGGACCTCCAGAGAATCAGGATTCCACCAGGTATTCAGGAATGCCACATCAAAAACAGCAAGACAAGCATGCAGGGTGCATCTCCTTTTGCCTACCAAGTTTTTTTATTTTTTTTTATAAACTGTCTTGGCAACTAGAAATTATAAACCAGAAGAAATAATGTAGCCTACCTCACCCAGGACAGGAAATAACCATGTGGAAATAGGAAAATTTTTAGACACTGAGAGCACTGGCAAAGATTTCCATATTAGCAAAGCCAAAATCAGACCATTGTCAAGTTCTGCAAAACCAAGTGCAGGCAAATCCTTTTCTCTCAGGCTCCCTACCTAATTGAAACTCCCAAATCCCTCAGGCAGAAGAAAGGCTGATTTCCTACAAGACACTGATAAATCAGACAGGTAGCACACAACCATAGTGCTTCACAGACGGTAAAGAAGTAAAATTAAAAGAAATATAACCACACTTTGATCAACTGTCTTCTCCACAGAAGTGATTAATTTACTGCCTGAATAAAATACCTTCATTTGTCCTCAGGAGTAAAAGCAAATTAGTAAAAAAGCACCCAACTTTTCCTTGCAGAAATGGCAACCTAAAATTGAAAAAGGGTGAATGACGATGATAAAAAAATTAAAAATGCAGGCAGCATTCCACCACCCTCCTCTCCCACATGGATGCCTTGATGCAGTTTAAGTCTGCTTCTTATTCTACACAAATTTGACTCCTAAGACAGTATTTAATCCAGCTGAAACAGTACTACAGTCCTGCAACCTCTATCCTCAATCTAATTTGTTTAAAGTAATCAGAAGGGGGAAAGCCTCATAACAATCACACACATAATAACCCTAACCAGACAACAAGGCAGCATCACTTCTGTTTGCACCCTGAGCAAACCAGCTCTGCAATGCAACAGGAGCTAAAAAATCTGAAGCAGTAAAATTTCGGATCCCATGGCAAAGGTTTCACCAGGCACAGGTCACTGAGATGTGAAAGAGAATGAAACACAGCTGTAAAATTTTCTCTGTATTCTGCACGCAGGGAGAGACTTTAGGCTAATGGAAAATAACTGGCCAGAAGCAGCCACGAGTTGGTAAAGAAATTAAACAAGCCAAACCATCAGAAAAATCCAGCAAACATTTAGGTGTGTAAGGACAGTAACAGATCTTCAAAACAGCCCTAACAGAGAGGTATCTAACATTTCAGAAGAAATTATAGGATGCCTATGCAATAAGGATGTGTTTCTACTAAAAAATTACAGCGTGAGCTGTTCCAGCACAGGGGGAGGGTTGGCTGTACAAAGCCCTTCATCTGCAGCTGCATCCTCAGTAGTACTTTACTGGTCTGCATGCTGGGATAGATTTCCTGGGGGAAATGCCATGTTTTTACTTGGCTGATCCATGAATGTGTACGGGATTTGTGTGCCCCAGCACAGAGCTGCTGTTTGAAATAGCAATACGACAACAATTCTGTGTGGAAAATAATTCCAAATGGAGTTACTTATTGCTAACATAGATCACACCAAAATATTTGGCAGCAAAACCTTTCAGCAGACGGAACTAATTTCTTCTTGTCTGCTTTGTGTTTCCTCTTCTGTTCTGTCCACTAAACCCTAAACAGTTTCTTTAGCTACATTTCCCCCCAGTTACAGGTTTTACAACCACCACAACTGCACTAGAAGGTTGACATCTGCTTCCAGCAAACCTGTGGGCAAGCACACTCATTCTTATGGCACTGCTGTTCAAACTCTGCAGCAAAACAAAACACAGCAGGCAAATGCAGGATTAACGTGCCAATTAAGGTCTCCTGAAGTAAAAAAATAAACAGACCACAGGGTATTACTCGGGGTAACTGGGGCATGGCAGTGAAATATTATCACTTGGCTGGCCTGCCTTCTAAGAGCAAGGCCCATGGACTGCCAGCTCGGGCTGAAATGAAATCTTGGTTGCCTGTTGTTGGATTACTACAGCCAAAGTCACAGGTTTTTGGGGAGGTTGGTGTATGTGGGAGAACTCATCCCAGGAGAGACACAAGCTAATTCTGCACTGGAGATACACCTTTGCTTTCAACATCTGGATTTGATTACTGCAGATAAAGCTGGTGTGGGCATTAACAGTCATAGGAGATGCACATCAACCCTGCAGCTTCGTTTTCCAGTGCAAGGCATTGGGACATTGGGAATCATACCCAACTACAGTGAGAGAAAATACTCTACAATATTTCTGGTAACTTTGACCTCATTACAAGTGGATGGACTATTTATACAAGTTTATGCAACACCTGGACAATGCTTGTACTCCCAAGGTGGGCTGAGAGCACAGTTGAGCCAGGCTGGTGCATCTGGATGGTCCTTGGGTGAAAGCATCAAGTGAAGACTGACTCTTAAAACCCACAACCCTTACTTAATCACATTATTTTGTTTTGAATGTTTTTTCAATTGCTCATAATAACATTTCTAGATAAGTGGAACTCTTACTAAGGCAGGGCGCTTTCCAAATGACAATTTGCTCTTTAAAATCATCCTAACTGATTTTCTTACGTGTTTTTTAAAGATCATGAGAAGAATGCCACTGGTGTCATCCCAAGGACAAAGTTACGGGAAACAGGGTCTGAACATGTATCATCTGACACAGGGTTGTCATGGGAGCATGGAAGAATGCAATAAATTGAATTTGGTGCTGAAAGTCTGAAATACTCCACAAGGGCTCGGTGACTTTCTCCTGCCAAAATAAAGTCAACTCATGTTAATGCAAAGTGGGCAACTAGTGATACACAAACTAGCAGTATTATTGAAAGGAAAAGAAACATTACCTCCTATACTCATAGAACAACAAATAGTAGGAGGCATCCTGGTTTTTCATAGGACTACTTTTCAGCAGGGTTATTTCTGAACTGTGGCTTTTCACCCACAAATCCAACCCTTCACCTTTGAAGATCACAATGTTACCTCAGAATTTTCCACAGCCCATTTCCTATTCAAACACCAGTGCTGTATCAACCTTTCCTTCGAGAGCCATTCTGCAGAGTATAGCATTGTAATATCCTACACCATTTTAGTAATGATAAAAAAGTCTGGGAATTAGGTCAAAAGAACATGATGTCAACTCTATTTAAATTTTAAATAACCCTCACTGCAATAGAAATTGCCCATAATTGTTTCAGCAAATCCAGGCTGATAACTTTTTGATGAGCACAGTACTCACTGTGAGTTCCTTGCTACTTGCTCCTCAAAGAAACCACGTTACACAGCCACATCATTTGTACTATATCTAAATACAACCATCCTCACCTTAACCAAAATTCCATGCTTTGGCATGGCAAATAATCAGTCCTCATGCTGTTTGGCACATGAAGGAATTTAGCATAAGTGCCAGCAGAGGGAAAGCTTTGATGGCACAGGCTTGGGCAGGAACGTTCAAACCCAGCAGGGACAGTCCTCTGCAGATCTGTACCTGCAATTATCACTACATCTTTATAATTAACTACACACATCAGATGGGCCACAGGGCTGCTTAATTCCTGCATGAGTCCATCTCACTGCTGAAAGGGGAGGTGGTCTGGCCTCTCATCTCCACCAGCTGCCTTTGCAAGTTGCACTGTGTTTCCTCTGCATGGGCCAAGAGCAGAGCCAGGGAGCTGCTGGGGCTGGAAATTAATCCATTTACCAGAGAGAGGGAGGGGGCAGTGGGGAAAAGAAAAAGGAGAATCAGTTTTCAGCCAGAATGAGCAGCACTCAGACCTGGCATCAGGGAAACTGCATCTTCCTGCACAGCATCCTGCCAATTTAAGGTCTCACAGTTGCAGGTTAAAGCTTGCAAGCACATCTGGGCATACGTGCTGCAGTCACACTTGTAATGCTGGCATAGATGCTGAAAGTAATTAAGGCACATTCATCATTTTTTCTGAATTTAATGCAAATTCTCATCTGCTAAAAGCTAGGCATTCCTAAAAAATGTAGTGAACTCTTCAAAGAAAAGCACTGCACAAATACTTGACACAACTGGCAACCATTGATCCACAAGACTAAGAATAAACGCTTATCAAGTTGCCCATGTTATTCCCAGAGTGTTTTAGATGCACTTTCAGCATCTTCCCCTAAACAACTTTTGCAACTCCAGCTCACCACAGACATGTATCCAACAGCAAGGTAATTGGAAACAGCCAGAAATACAGGCAGAGCTTCTCATGAGATAACCTCTCTTGTACTTCCTTTGTGGAAAGCAGTGGAATGCAATAATAGGAGGAGAAGGATGTATTTCACCATGGTTTAATCCCACTGATGTGTCAGATGAAAGTCATTAATCACCTGACACATTAATCAGCCATAGAAAGGTAACTGAAGAATCTTTAATAAGGGAGATGGTGGAAAGCAATAGAGGGGAAACCTGAATTGTTTTGTGACTGTTCTCAAGAGCCCAAATCCTATATGTGACTGGTAGATTTCCACACGGAGCAGTAATTAATCCAGTGAAAGAGCCACACTGGCCCTGTGTGAGGGGAAAGGATGGGGGCTGAACATGATACTCATCCCTTTCCCACCCCACACTGGCCCCTCTCCCACAGCATTAAGTG